CATGAATACTAGCTGAGTGACTTTGGGCCAATCACCAGGAGTGGTGAGTTCTAGTTCCACCATAGTCGTGAAAGTTGGCTGGGCGACCTTGAACTAGTCATCTTCTCTCAGCCCACCTTGTGGTTGTGGGGAAAATAGAAGACAAAGGCGTGTTGGATAAGTTCTCTGCCTTGAGTTATTTGTAGAAACAATAAAGGTGGGATAGAGATAAATATGGCTGACTAGGATCCAACCTTCCTTATATTCCTTGGAGCATCCTGAATCGGCTGAGGGTCAGAGTTCCTAAGTGGAGGTTTTTAGCAGATCTAGTCCTGCTTTAGATACGAATGCTGGCTGGGTGACTTTGAGCCAGTCACCTAGCTTGTGTGAATGCAGAGAGAAGCAGAGCCTGGCCCATCTGCTGGCACGTTGGCTACTAACAGAAACAATGACCTATTTTTGGCCAGCAACAAAGCCAAGGAGGTGGCTTCATTTTTGCAGTCTAGAGCAGGGGTGTCAAACTCAATTTCATGGAGGGCTTCATCAGCGCTGTGGTTGACCCCAGGAGAGGGGCTGGGTGCGTGTGGCTGACTGGGTAGGTGTGGTCAACCGGGTGAGTGTGACTAGCTAGACACCACTCCCCAAACTACTGGAATGTTTCCTCTTCGCATTGGGTAGACTGGGTCGAAACTAGGCTGGCCTGATCTTTCTTCTTTGCACTGGGTAGACTGGGCCGATCTTGCCTCTTCGCATTGGGTAGACCAGGACGGCCCCGTGGGCTGGATCCAACCACATTGCAGGCCGGATCAGGCCCACAGCAACCGATGACCTCCTTTGACTAGTCCACAATAGAAAGCATCCTCACATATTGCATGATGGCGTGGTATGCTGGCTCGACAGCTGCAGATAGAAAGACATTACAGAGGGTGGTGAGCACAGCACAAAACATCGTGGGCTGTTCCCTGATGCCACTAGATGACCTCTCTAGAGCTCGCTGCCTTAGAAGAGTGAGGAAAATTCTCAGGGGTGACTCACATCCCGGTCAGCACTTCTTCACTCTCCAACCATTGGGTAGGAGAAGCATAGTCAGCTGCTCCAACAGGGTGAAGAACAGTTTCTAACCACGGGCTGTCAAACTCCTGAACGAAAAATGTCAACATAGCATGATAGACTTGTGGGGCCGGAGCATTGTGCAACCAGATAACATGGTGTAATAAGATTGGGACTGGGTTTGGGACTTCCATCTTCACTGAGAGTTGTTTTGGGTGTGTTTGCGTGCACGAAGGGAGTCTCAACCAATCTCATTGTACACATGTTGTACTCTGACAATAAAGGTAATAATATATTCCACATGCCTTGAGTTTGACACCCTTGGTCTAGAGTTTGATCCGGACGTAGAAGAAGTCAGATAAATACATCTATACCTCTATGCAGTATATACATACACCCCTGGCTATCAATGAAAAAGGGGGTTCAGTCCAAATGATTGAAATACCCTTGGAAGGTTTGGCACCGCCATTTGGGCCTGTCCCAAAAGAAGGATGTGCTTTCAATGTGCTTTGTGGCTTTGGATGGATGACACTGAGGAGGTCACCTTTCAACCCAAACAGGAAATCAAGAGATATGGGAGTGGATGACCTGGCCTATAATCTCCAATTAGATCCACTCAATTATTTATGATCTGTTAGGGAAGAGTCTGTCCCAACCAGCCTCTTCTGTGGGGGAAGCTGAGGCAGATTGCATATTGAAGCCATGACAAATAATACAATGGAACCACACTGTCATGCCCCTGTTTTGGAGTCTGAATCCGAGGAGGAAGAGGAACAGCTAACAAGGAGTAGGAGTGTGGCTCCATTGGCTGTGGAGGAAACTGGGGAAGGGCAAAGTCCAGCTGGGCAGAGCAGGGGAGAGATACAACAAGGGAGAAGGAATTCAAAGGAAGACCCAGGCCCACCCCCTCTTCATTCTAGGGCACGCAAGGAGGAATGGAGAAGAGAGCAACATGGGTTGCATGGCTTACGGGGGAGGAAAGGGCCCCGATTCCCTTCATTAGCCACAGCTGGGAATGAAAGTTTAGAAGAAATGCAGGCTGCGTGCAACAGTTGCTGGGAGCAAACATGAGTTTATCTTGTGTTGACTTGGCTTATCTGTGTTCCTGGCATCCTCCCAACCGCGTTGAATTACTACCGTGCCTTCATGTCTGGAATTTTTGCTTCTGCCCTGCCAAACTAATTACCCCATTTTGCCTTGATTGGACTCATAGTTTTTGTTGACCACATTTGGGACTTGATTCTCTGCAGCCAAAGGCTGTTCCTGGGAGAGTTTTTCTCCAGCCCAGAAGGTAACCAGGACATTGGGGGCAAAGTTGGAGATAATAAAGGGACTCTTATTGATTAACTGACTGTGTTGCCTTTGTGCCATGCCCCAGGTCATCACACATGCTGATGATATGGGCAAGAGGTCAACACTGTGTAACTAACTGCATTACAGTTACAGAGGCTGTTCGCTACTTTTCAAGAAGGGACATCCACAAGGAAGGTTAAAAAAGGGAAACCCAAGAAGAAGGTGATTTTGATGGCATGTGTCATGTCCATACACCTTAACTTTGCCATGTGTGAAAAACACCAATAGAAGCTCATCTGCTTTCTGACAGCTTGCCTTGGGAAGATGTGGGTGCCTCCATCACTGGAGGCTTCTAAGAAGAGATCAGACTATCGTTTTTCTGAAGTGGGTCTCCTACTTGAGCAGGGGGTTGGACTAGAAGACCTCCGAGGTCCCTTCCAACTCTGTTATTTTATTAATTAATCAGTGGAATGGCTTGATTGCAGAAGTTGTAGGTTCCTCCATCACTGGAGGCTTCTAAGAAGAGACTGGACAGCCACTTGTCTGAAATGGTATAGGGTCTCCTGCTTGAGCAGGGGGCTGGACTAGAAGACCTCCAAGGCCCCTTCCATCTCTATTCTGATTGATGGACTATGCAACTTAACCTGACGATCCTGGGTATCACTTTGTACTTCTACTCTTGTTTTTTAAGTTATGTTCCCACTCTTCTTTTTTGCTTTGTTTTCATTGCTCTACGCCTTAATTGATTTGTGGTGATCTACAGATATGGCTGAATGATGCCTTTGAAGGTATTTCTCACAAATGTGTAGTATTTCTCAATCTTGGCAACTTTAAGATGGGTGGACTTCAACTCCTAGATTTACCCAGCCGGCTATACAAGGGAATTGTTTGGAAGAGTTTGCGATAAAAGGAAACCAGGCCACCAGAGAACACAGTGGCTGGATGCCATCAAAGCTGACATGAGCCAGAGTGTAGATCAAATCAAAGAAGTAGTGCAAGATTGGAAGATGTGAAGAGACCTGGCCCAGTGGACAACTACTACTACTACTACTACTACTACTACTACTACTACTTCTTCTTCTTCTTCTTCTTCTTCTTCTTCTTCTTCTTCTTCTTCTCCTCCTCCTCCCCCTCTCCCCCCCCTCCTCCTCCTCCTCCAAATTGTGCTAAACAAGACCCACCCCACAATACAGAGAAAAACATAAAAAGTGATATCATCTGGTAGGGTTGCCTTCAATCATGGTGCAATTGAAGCTCTACCTATATATTTGCATGTTGTACATGCTGGCTGGGGGATTGTGGGAGTTTAAGTTCACCCACCTTAAAGTTGCCAAAGCTGGTCTGGATATCCAAGCAATCTTCTTTTCTTTAGATGCTTGTCCAAGTAGTAGGGCTGAAATGAAAATTTGTAAAGAAGGTCTCCATTCAGCTGAGATCTTCAAGTTAACAGAACAACAGAGTTGGAAGGGAAACGTCGTCCAATCTCTTCTTAAAACCTTCCAAAGTTAAGGGAAGAACTTCTTCACAGAGATCTTTCAACATCCAACCTTTCCCCTCGCAAGTGAATTTAGTCATAAAATATCAAGGATCCAATATTAACACTTTTTTCTTCTTCTTCTGTCACTCATGTCCAATTCTCAGAGGCTGCCTTGACAACTGCCTGCAAACATTCTTGGTAAAAATTTTCAGAAGTGGTTTACCATTGCCTCCTTCCTAGGAGTGAGAGAAAGTGACTGGCTGGCCCGCAAGGTCACCTAGCCTCAGACAGGGTTAGAATTGATGGCTTCCCGGTTTTAAATTGCTACACTAAATTTGCTCTCATATTTATTTTGTGTTTCTTTCATTCAATCCTGCCCGATTCTCAGAGACCGGCTGGTCAAGTTTGAGGAGTTCTGTTAATGACCCAAATTATCCCCTGGGAAAACTATAAGGCTGATGTGAATGAATGCTAATCTTTCTCGCTGTGCCTTTCATGCTTCCCAGCTCTGATGAAATGAGGCAATGCAAACAGGTTTCGCCCACAGGTCAGTTGCCAGTCCCACCACCTACTACCTTCTAATGAAACCAACCCAGGGAATTATTCTTCATAGGATTCATTTCTGGCTCATCCCACTTCCAGAAGGTGCAGTAACTCCACCCAGCTATTTGGGTCTAATGAGTTATTTCAACTTAGGCAGGGCAGAAAAACAAGCAAGCAGATCTTACATGTCAAAATCTCCATTAGAATTTCATCAAGTTCTACAGATCTAAAGGTAAACGGACAACCGGCAATTAGATGTGGACATCAAGATGGTAACGAGAATAGCTTGGTTGGCTCTTGATGCTTTGTGACTGAAAGCAGTAGAAGATGCCGATCAACTTAGAAACGTTTAATCTAATGAATCTAATCTGTCTTTTTTTCAGTGTATTCCCTGGCCTGCTATTCCTGTGAAAATGAACCTTCCAACTGGAACTGTATGTCGGTTAAGAAGTGCGCAGAAACGGACAAATACTGCACTACCGTTAAAACGGTTAGCCGTGGCAGACAGGGTATGTATTATTATTATTATTTATTTAAAGCAAATTTTATTAATTTTACAAAACAATATACAAACAAACAAAACATAAAATATGATAACATAAGAAATCTTTTTCTAAAAAAAAGCCAATACAACATCTTATTTAAGACAGAATTATTCCAAGTTATCACATTTCCATGAAAACACAATTTAGTATATGTATTTACCTTATCTGTTCATCTTCATATCTTATCCCGAACTTCTCTTTATTATTCCCTTTCCTTCTATTTATTCAGATTATATCTCTTTAGATTGTATACATTTTTTATATCCATCTGTCTTATACAATTTCCTTGTTCTCTTCGAATAAGGGTATGTATTATTGAAGCAGGATGTCTATGGAGATTCTCCATCATCCTGGTCATGGTTGTTCCAAAGGTGCGCTGTTTTCAGGAGGCAAGTGGACTTTCTGGTTTTTTTTTTCCTCGAAAACCATCTCCAGTCTACAACACAGTCCTTTCAACAGTTCCAAGAAGGAGCTGCACCCATTTGCACCACTCAGGTGACCCTTTGGACACAGACAAAACAAACTTTTAGCTACACAATTTGGGATGAACACCCTTGGGATGGTGTGGGAGTAGGAACGGTTTTCCAGAAGGAAAACTGCAGCCTACAGGAATCAGGAGCATCACTCAGGTGACCCTGAGGACACAGATAAACCTCCAAGTGGCCTCAACGACCCTCTAAATAGGATGCAAATGACCAGCTCTGTCTGCAAGGAGTATAAATCCTTCCGTTCCCCATCATCCCAGTCAGAGGTGAAGAAGCTTCTGCAAGGAGAAGTGAAAGGTCTTCAAAGGAAAAAAAAAAACCAGGAAACCCAGTTGCTTCTTGCAAAAAAATAAAAGCACCTTTGCGACATGGAAGCAGAAATAATTACAGTATGGGTTACTTTTGGAATGAACTGGAAAGCAGTTTATGGGGATGATCTAATACCAAGATTATTTTCCTCTTAAAAATATTGAACATTGCTCTTTAATACTGGGGGCAGAGATGTCATGTTGTCGATATTCATGATTTTGGGCCCAGATTTGAACGTTATGATGAACAGAAGAAAGTTTCTTTGGAACTTTCTTAATTTCCACGTTACTAGTTCTCCAGAAATTTGAGTGGAAGAGGTAGCTGGCAAGAGGAGGGTGGATTCAGATACACTTGAGCCTCACCAGAGAGGTTCAACTATGGTTAAGAAAGTTGGAGAAAGCATGGATGTACCAGGGAAAGAGGAATGTTGAATGTTCTTTCCATAGGCTGTGAAGTGGAATGCTTGGAAAGTAGAGGAAATATCTGCAAAGGGACCCAGGAACACTGTTTCTCAACTTCAGCAATTTGAAACTGGGTGGACTTCAACCTCTGCTGGCTGGGGAATTCTGGGAGTTGAAGTCCACCCATCTTCAAGTGACCAAGTTAGAAGGTCCAACTGGAATGAGAAGCTGAGTTTAAATGGGGCTGAAATCTCCCCTTTTTTGGTGGCTTCTAATTTCTCGCATTTTTATATAATGACTTGATTTTGTTTTGCCGCATAAGGTGAGCCCAATGACTACCGGATCAGCAAGCGATGTGCTCCAACCTGTGATCAAAACTTCATGGACACTGGGTCATCATCCATCGCTACGAAGTGCTGCCAGTTTTCTTTCTGTAACATCAGTGGGGCCGCCAGCGTGAAACTGAGCAATATGGTGCTGATTTTGGGAATCCTGGCCAGTTTCTTCTACATCTTCCAGTCTAAATAAGGGATTGCTCATAATTCTTACGAGAAAGAGAGACTAGCAAATTTCATCCAAACTCCTGAAGCATCTCAGAGGCTCTCCTTCTGAGCCTAGCATCAATACACCAAACAGATTCCTGGTTCTCCTACGGGAAAATTGGTCTCTGTTTGCATAGTACAGAATATAAGTTCCTCTTTGTACATAGAGAAGACCTTCGAATTCAGTAGTATTTTTATTTAGTATGCCCTTGAATCTAAGTCTAGCACAACTCTTTTTTGCCTCACCATAATAATCCTGGGAAGTTTTATAGTGAGAGCATTTATTAAAGACTGTCAAGGCCTCAGGCAGCTGGCTGATGTAGCATCTTTCTTCCTCTCTACACAATAACATGATTTTGCAAAAACCGGTTTAATTAAAAATAACTTCCTACTTTGGTGCACCCAAAGGGCATCATTCACCACATTTTCTTCTGGGTAATGTTTCCACCCACACTTTCCAAGTTAATGATGGTTCTGTCCCCCTGGTGTGAAAAGTACACAACTGCAAGAGTTTAGGAAAAAGCTAACCCTAAGCGACTTTGACCACGATTAACCCTGGATTGCAAGCTTGGATGTGAGAGGATGTGGTCATGGCTACTTAGAAGGTCCCTGTGTCCTGTGATTTTTCTGGGAAGTTTTAATCAAATGATATTTTTCTCCTGTTACTGTCTCCACTTTCCTTTAAGTATTAACAATGAACTGAGAATCAGCGCCTCCACTAGATAATTGACCGTCAAGCTGAAACTAAGTTAATCAAGCAAAAATAGCAAGTGGCGGAAAACCTTTTGTTCAAACTTCCATCAACCCTCCAAATAGGTTACCCAGACCTAATTCACGCATCAAAGAAGAAGGTCTGTAAACACAAATAGATTAAAATTAAACTATTAATTTAGTTTAATTTGAGTTAAAACCCAGGACAAGCTCCCCTATGAATCAGCCTTTTTGTGTCTCATTTTCTCTGTAGCTACTACCCCCCCAGAGGTAAACCTCTTCGCTTTGGGAGTAAATAAATCTCTTTTCCTCACAGCTGTCTGGATTTCATTTCGATCTCTTCTTGCACAACACCCATCCGAGTTGGAGCCCCACATTATTCTTCCGACATTCTCTTTTTTTTCAACTTCCATGATTTTGCGACTGGAAATTTGAAACTTGGTTTTGCTGCTACGGTCCTGTGATCTGCACTATATATTAATAAAGCGTTGTGTCGATGTTCGTTAATATCCCAGTTTGCAAACTCACATCCCCAGCACAAGCAGGAGAAAACTCCGCTCTCCTCTTCACTGGCTCTAATTTAACCATTAACTTTGACTCCGGCTAATGGGGGCGTATCTGTAGCATAGGAAGGTGATGGCTTTAATGGTGTGGTTCAAAACTTTGCCTGTGGTATATCAGAATGAAGATGGGGGGGCTATGAGGAGGAGAACCAAGACTCGCCTGTCCTGAGAGGTGGGATGCTGGGGGTTCGCTGGGGTTCTGGAGAGCCCCTAATTAACATTCTGTGCAGTTCAGAGATCCCTCAAATCTCACTCCTGGCTGGGCCTGCCCACCCTGCCGGTCTCCTCCCAGGAGTCGCCACGTGGCCCATTTTGGATGGAGGTAAGTGCAGGACGTGTGCAGAGGCTTGGGGAGGGTGAAAAACGGGCCTCCCAGAAGTTTGGGAAGGCTGGAAATTAGCCCGTTTCTGGCTTCCAGAGAGCCTCCGGAGCCTTGGAAGGCTGTTTTTGCCCTCCCAGAGGCTCAAGGAAAGCCTCCAGAGTCCGGGGAGGGAAAAGACCCTCCCCCCCCGCCATGGTGCAGGAGGCCAACTAGCCGCGCCCACCCAGCAACCAGGCAGAGAAACCATTGCTTTAAATTTTGAAGCCCACCTGTGCCTGTACCCTTAACAACCTGGTTTCCGTAAGACATGCAAAGTTGGCAGCTTCCTCCCTGATAAAATCACAGGTGTGTTTATCACATGCAGACTTGGCATTCAAAAGCAATGCAATAGGTAAGACAATAGAAGAACGGATAACCAGGACTGAGGATAGAAGCTAAGAGTTGGACACTTTCAGGTTTCCAGTCTGCTCCCTGGCCTCCTGCTATACTTGTCTCTGCCATATTCCCCACTGAGAAGGTCCTCTCTGCCCTCTCAGATGGAAGTTAGACATTGAGCACATTGCAGCAATCTGGACAAAGATGGCTTAAGCATGAGCGATCATGAACATGGCTTCTGGGCAGTGGTGGGATTCAGCTTTTTTTTAACCGCCGGTTCTGTGGGTGTGGCTCGGTGGGCACGCTTTTCATGCCCACGGAGGGTTTGATATTGACCTCCTGCAAACCTGCACTCTCCCTGTGTGTTCAACAGCTGATGCGCGGCAGTTGGATGTGCTACGCAAAGCAGTTGAGGTTGAAAAGCAGGAAATTAAGGCCAGTAAAGAGTCGTCCCAGCAGCTGATCGTCGGAGTGAACCGGTTTGCTCACAGATGATTCTGGGAGCTACCGGTCCGGCTGAACCGGGCCAAGCCAGAAGAATACCACCCCTTACTTCTGGGCCTAGGAAAGGCCACAACAGACTAAGATCATGCAAAGACCCTTGCAACAGATGGTGCAGATGGTAGCTGATCTTTAGTTTAGTTTACTTTATTGTCATTGCACCTCATACAATGAAATCAAACACCATCTTCAGTGCACATCATGACCATGAAAATAAACACAAGCACACATCCTTCACACTCCACACATTGAATTGAAAACCCCTGATATTGCGTTAATATTGCACTATACAGCAGAATTCAAAAGAGCTACTGCCCTGGGATAGAAGCTGTTTTTCAGCCTAGTTGTCCTTGTTTTTATTATTATCCTGTACTGTCTGCCAGATAGTAATAGTTCCAAAAACAAAACAAAAAACGGTGCCCAGGATGAGATGGAACTTGGAGAATGTTCTGAACTTTCTTAAGGCAGCAGGAGCTTCAAGCGGGGAGGTTACAAGCAAGCCACGGGTTATGGGCCAACTCTTTCCTGATCCCCTTGGGATGCCTCACTGCTCAGAGGGATAGTTGGCCCCTCAATGAAATTTAGGAACCCGTGTTCAATTCTACAAGTGGAGTGATTATGGAAGAGCAATATGGAATCCAAAGCAGGAAGCAAGTGTTTGTTAGATGGCACGTGCAAGAGGGACCCCTTCCAAAGAATATTGAAAGAGACCCCAGCTTACAAATGGATGTTCTGCTATGTATACCCCCGTCAAGGTTCCAAGATGTCTCCAGAATAAAAGTCCAAGACATCCATTTTTCTTTGAAATCTGTTAATTAGGAACATATCAAATTAGCAAGGTCTTGGTGCAATTCTGACTCTGACCAGACTTTGAAATTACACTCAGTAAAAAGCAAACGTTTGAAATTTCTCCCAGAGTCGCAATCTCCAATCAGTTCTCAGTCCATCAGTCTGAGGACTCCAAACGCCACCTTCCTCCGGCTGCAGGCACCTTCTCAGTTCCCACAGGAAGGAATGCCAACTTGTCATAATATTCCCCCTCATCTCTACAACCCCCTGTCATGTCCCTGTCAGAATCTGAATCTGAGGAGGAAGACAAACAGCTGACAGGGGGCAGGAATGTGGCTCCGTTGGCTGTGGAGGAAACTGAGGAAGGGCAAAGTCGGCTGGTCAGAGCAGGGAAGAGATAGAACAAGGGAGAGGGAATTCAGAGGAAGACCAAGGCCCACTCCCTCTTCATCCTAGAGGAACTGAAGAGAGCAACGTGGGTTGCGTGGCTTACGGGGGAGGAAAGGGCCCTGATTCCCTTCATTAGCCACACCTGGGAATGAAAGTTTAAAAGAACTGAATGCTGACTGTGGCAGCTGCTGGGAGAAAACATGACTTTATCCTGTGTTGTCTTTGCTTATCTGTGTTCATGGCGTCTTCCCAACCGTGTGAGTTTAACCATGCCTTCACATCTGGAATTCTTGCTCCTGCCCTGCCAAACTAATTACCTCAGTTTGGTTTGATTGGATTCATTGGATTCATTCATTTGTGTTGATCATGTTTTGGGCTTAATTCTCTGCAGTCAAAGGTTGTTCCTGGAAGATTTTTTTCTCCATCCAGAAGGTAACCTGGACCTTGGGGACAAAGTTAGAACTAATAAAGGGACTTCTACAGGGGTGGGATTCTACCAGTTTGCACCTATTCGCTAGAACCGGTTGTTAACATTCTAAACAGTTCAGAGAACTGGTTGTTAGAAGAAATTACAGGCCTAATCCTGTAAGGAAGGCAGGAAGGAAACATTCTGGTGTTGCTTACAGAAACTGCCTCTCTGTTAACCCTTTTTACATTCTTGGCAGGACTAGACTTCCTGTCTCTGGAACTTCTCCGGAGTTTTTTTCCCCTCCTTTGCTGGTACTTTGCTTATATGGAGCAATCATTCAAAGTTACAATGGCACTGAAAAAAGTGACTTATAACCATTTTTCACACTTACGACTATTGCAACATCCCCACAGTCACAAGAGGCCAGGAGAGGTGAGTGATGTTGAGTTGGCCATGCCCAGCCAGTAACATTATCATCAAGCCACTCCCACCAACTAAGCCACGCCTACAGAACCGGTTGTTAAAAAAATTGAATCCCACCCCTGGACTCCTACTGATTATCTGACTGTGTTGCCTTTGTGCTGTGCCTTTGTGGGTCATCACACACCCCTTCCTGCTGCTAGAATGTGGAGAACTTGAAGCGTGATTAAATTCCTTTGCAGAAAACCTAAAGAAAGCTAAGAAAAAAAACAGACCAGCCAGTTAGAACTGAAGAAGGTCCTTGGATGAGAAGCTAAATATTTAAAAAACAACAACAAGGAAGTCCGGTAGCCTTCTGGAACAACCATGACTGGGATGATTAAGAATCTCCATGGATAGGAAGGAGAGACTAATGCATAAGCAACAGGCAATGTAAGCACACATATTCATCTCAAGTCAAGAAGTAGTGGATGGAAGATTGTTAAAGAGAGACCCAACTTAGAACTAAGCACAAATTTTCTGGCAGTGAGAACACTCAATCAAGGGAACAGAAGTTGCCTTCAGAAGTTGCAGGTGCTCCATCTCTGGAGGTTTTTAAGAAGAGATTGGACAACCATTTGTCCAGAATGGTATAGGCCAGGGGTGTCCAACCTTGGCAACTTTAAGACTTGTGGACTTCAACTCCCAGAATTCCTCAGCCAGCAAAGCTTTTGTCAATAGTACAGTCAATAGCAAAGCTGGCTGAGGAATTCTGGGAGTTGAAGTCCACAAGTCTTAAAGTTGCCAAGGTTGGACACCCCTGGTATAGGCTCTCTTGCTAGAGCAAGGGTTAGACTAAAGGACTTCCAAGCAGAGGTGGTATTCAGCAGGTTCTGACCAGTTCTGAAGAACCAGTAGCGGAAATTATGAGTAGACTGGCGATTTTTACAGTATCCTTCCCCTGCCACACCCACTGAACCGGTAGGAAAGACATTTGAATCCCACCACTGCTTCTAAGGTCTCTAGGAAGTAGCGGAAATACGTAGAGCAGTTTATTCATTCAGTGGCTGAAGGAGCTTACCTCGTTATGGGTTTAATAATAGAGTGAGATATAATGACAAGCAGACTTTGATGTTGAGATTGTGCAATCTTTGTAGGCATACAGGAAGATATGCTGACTGCCGGGTGCTCATGTTTTGCTCACAGAGTCGTAGTGTTTGCCTTGAAGACAGGGAAGGGTTGTGTTTCTGACCCAGCCTAAACAAATAATAATAAGCCTTTTACTCATGAGTCAAACAACCCTCTTTTTATAAGATAGTAACAGTCTTTTATTCACAGGGATAAACAAAATATATAACTAGTCCCAACAAACCTGGGTTTAGCCAAGGAATCCAAATTGCTTCCTGTGTACTAGAAACGAACGGTTGTCTATGACAACTGGCCCCTCTCAAACCCCTCCTATTTGTTTCCCAGCCAGGGAGGGGCTGGCTAGCATCTGTGTCTGCTTTTCCCCGAGAGCCAGCTTATTGATTTCCTTTGCTCTCCTCTCCTCTGTATGGGACCCATCTGTTCCTGTCCCTCAGTCATCTCAGGCTCCAAAGACAGCTGCCTCTCTGCCGGGGGATGGTTGGAAGACCCTGGCTCTGCCTAAGTCTCTGATGCTATTTCATTATCAGAACCTTTCAAAGGCTCCGAAGCTAGGCCAGGCCCTCCTTCCACCTTCTCCTCACTGGACTCTGCAAATAGCTCTGCTGGCAGCTGATGGGCCACAACAGGTTGATGCTTCGTTAGGTCTCAAACGGTTTCGTGCCAGAGGGAAAAAGATACCACAAACCCCTCCCCCATTCTTTCTTTCTCCCCTGGCTCTCCCAATTCTTCTCTCTTAATCCTTGATATCCAGCCTCCACTCCAACCCAAGAACAACATCTTAGAAGGGTATAAATACATGCCTGTTGCCATCCCGGACTATATTTTGCAGGCTGCAGAGAAGATGGTAAGATGAAAGGGCTGCTTTTATGGCCTTGGTGGTGGTGGCATTGGATGTTGCCCCTTTTTTGGAAGTATCGATGACACCACCACTTATGCTCCCAATTCTTTAACTTTCTTCCCTAGCTGTTTGTACACTCTTGTTGTTGTTTTTAGTGTCATTGGTTCCCATGTGTCGGAGAAGATAAGGGTAGTTTTCCATGGGGTCGATTATTTTAGTAAGGTTCTCAGCCACATCTTTGATAATTGCACCAGGGAGACAATATATCCAGGGATGGGATTAAAAATATTTTACTACCAGTTCTGTGGGCATGGCTTGGTGGGCATGGCAGGGGAACGATACTGCAAAATCTCCACTCCTATCCCACTCCAGGGGAAGGATACTGTAAAATCCCCATTCCCTCCCCACTCATGGGGGAAGGTTACTGCAAAATCTCCATTTCCTCCCCACCCCACTAACCTGCTTTCCAGTTCCGTTCTCCTGTGCGGGGCAACAAAAGAAGACCCAGCTGATCAGCCGGGACTCAATGGGAGGCAGAGAATAGATGGGGTTGGCAGGGCCAGTCAGAGGTGGTATTTTCTTGTTCTCTGAACTATTCAAAATTTCCGCTACCGGTTCTCCAAAACTGGTCAGAGCCTGCTGAATACCACCTCTTATATACCTCTCTAAATTGGATGTCTGGTCTACAGACTATAGTTTTTATTCACTTGAGAACTGAATCTCCTATCACCAATATTTGCCTTTTATCCCCTAGGGAAGTCTGGAATACTTTTATTCCTGTCACAGCAATGCTGGGCCGCGCATCTTTTAAAAAAGAAACTATTGATGACTGCTTTTTTTTTAAATACGTATCTGCATATTTTTTTCTGCTTAACCCTGCTTCAATGGTTGAGTTGTGGGTGTTCTTTATACTCTTGTGTTGTTCCTTTGGACCCTCATCTTCCAGAAATGCTTGATGGCTCACTAATCATACAGATCAGAGGCCAAAAAAAAAAAAGAAAAAGAAAGCTTTTGTGAAACGAAATGAGCACCTGTGACAACGCTGCAGATTTAGGTTCTGGAAAGAAAATCCGAATGCTTTCTTTTTGTCAGCTTGTTCACTGAGTTCCTGAATTTAACATTTTTCTTCCTATCCCTTCACCAGAAAGGTGCCCGATTTTCACGAGATAAGAATAGAGTGACACCACTTCTCTGTCCTTCCCAGTTGTTCCTCTCGGTTGACCAACAATTGCAATCAGGAAACATTTTCCTTT